GCTAGAGAAAAAAAGTGAAATGACTAAGACATAACCTAATTGTTTTTTTGCGACAAAATTAAATTGCAAAAGATTGATTCATAGTATGGAAAATTGTTCGCAAAGATATATGTGTTTTAAAGTGTGTTTGGTTCAGCTTTCCCGAAAAACTTTAGACTTTTAACGGCCCTTATGAAAAAGCTGAGTGTTTAATAAAAAAAAAATTGGACCATTTTGGGAAATTGCCATCGTTAGCAAAGTTCAAAGCCCAAGACTTCGAAGTCCCTAAAATTGAAACCGAAGTTTAATTTTGACTAATAGAAATTTCCTACTAAAGGTCTTCACTGATGGTATTAAATGCTAAGGATGAACTATTCCCTCAAAGTAGATCTAAGAGAAACGCTAACGATCTTTTATATCTTAAACCTTCATTACAACTGTCTTTCATTCTTGGTCAACTCGCTCGTCATTCTTCATCCACTCACTCGCGTCTGCACTGCCGGAACTCATTTATTCACATCATAGAACCCATGCATTTGGAAGCAAGTGTCATTTACATACAAAGAAAAGACGTGTACACCCAGAACACATGTAGGAAGAGAACGGATGTATTTGCATATACCGAAAATGCATTCACTCAAATGACACTTACACAGAGAAGACGCATTCGGCAAAACACAATCCGCGATCTAATATGTTAAGACAAACGCATACGCAAACATGTGAGGCATATTAAAATTGAGATTCTCGGAAATCAGCTCTAAAGTGATTAACGAACGATGACGAATTAGTGGAAATCAAAACCGGTTCAACATGAAACTATCACGGACGAATCGCAATCACGGCTGTAAGCTCTGACATGTACGATTTTCAAGCTAGCAAGAATTAGATTCTCAGCCTCTGTTTTTATTCTCGTACATCCAAAACAGAAGACACTCATTTCAATCTAGCAAACAGCGAATACCAGCAGCCATGGCCGAACGGCTTTAAGCAAAAGAATGGCAAAAGGTGATTACCTTAGACTGCCGTTAGATCCTCTCAATCAGTATCGTTTTCCTCTCAGACTTCGATCAAATTACTTGGACTCAACCTACCAGAACAGAGCAGAGATGCAATTACCTTGGAGATGCAGTAGGTGGTCACGAACAAATGATCCAATGAAGGACTGAAGCCCTGCAAGCGTCTTCACTGAAGGTCGGCGCCGGGGAAGAAATCTCGAGTGAGATCAGAGTTTTTCGGACTTCCCCATCGTGGAACAGGGGCGAACAGAGAGGTCGCAGCATGGAGTTGAATGAAGCGAACGGTGATGGATGCAAGGGCTATAAGTCGTCGCCTGAAGTCGATGATGATGGAGGTCTGCAAAATCAAATAAACCAGTAAGAGCTTTCTAGGAACCCTCTGCAACTCCAAAACTGATGCTCTGTTTTCTCTTAATTGGATGGCGATCGGAGGTGGTAAACGGCAGGTGTTGGTGTGAACTGGTGCCGGCGATGGAGACAGAAACGGTTTCTGATAGATTTTTTGCTTGCTCTGGTGTTCTCGGGTGTGAATCGTATCCCCTCACGAATGCCCAAAAATCTCCTTCATAAGAGAACGGCTGTCAGTTAGATGAGATGAGAGCGCTTCTCTCGGTCACCACCGACCTGTACGCATGCCGATCCGCTTGGCTTCGAACGGAAGATATGAAGAGAGAGAGAGAGGTCTGGAAGAAGAGTCTTATGGATAAATGAGTCGGGTACGGGTCAAGATATTTACACTATGAATAAATGGGTCATAAATGGGTTAACGGATCAATTTGGGTTGGCCCATTTATGACCCGACCCAAACCCGACCCGACCCACCCGTTTAACAGGTCTAGTCACCACCTACCTGTACGCATGCCGATCCGCTTGGCTTCGAACGGAAGATATGAAGAGAGAGAGAGAGAGAGAGTTCTGGAAGAAGAGAGTCTTATGGACGTCAGTCAGTTTATGAGAGCGATTCTCTCGGTCAGCAGTGGTAAGGCAGCCCGTCAATTTCAAGTGACCAACGTGGTTAGTATTCAAAATATAGTAACTCTAGTAAAAATGGATAGAGGCCATCTCTTTCCATTTCAATTTTAATTTTGTCTTCTTGATTGCGAAGATGTGCAGATATAGATGTCAGCAGTGCAATCAGATGCCACAAAACAAACAATATCATACGGAGTTTTCGCTACCACAAATGATTAAAATGCCAATTACATGATCATCAGGCCTCACTTGGAAAACAAAGAAAAGCATGTACCGCCTCAAAGTCAGTCATGCACACAATTCCGGTGAGTCTAATGTTCTGGAAATGCCGAGAAATTCCTATTTTCAAGAAATAAAAGGAGTAGAGTTTTTTCATCACGACACTTGTCATCAATTCTCACGATTTTAAATTACTGCAGAATGTTTGATATAAAGAATGGATCGTCGAATGTTTAAATTAGTTATTAGCAGCCGAACCCTCTTTCTTTTAGAGATTCTTCGATACAAGCTGCGGGAGCAAAGACATAAGAGAATCCTACTCGACAATTTCAGGAGTCAGAGTTTCACGGAAAACATTTATAGAAGGCAAAAGGCATGGCAACAACAGTTTCTATCCCTGGTTTTGATGCTCAATCTCGCCCTACCAGTTGGACAATCACAGCTTGTAAAAAAACGCAATTAAGCACAACAAGAACATATTTCGTTGATTCCATTTGACGATTTCAAAAAATAAAACATTAATATTCGCAAACCTGCTGATGCCATATTGATATATGCAGGGCAGCCTCAGCAAACAGTTTAGGTGACAAATCTCCACAAATGAGGTTCGCCAAAATTGTCATATCGTGCCATAAAGTTCCAGACTTGTCAAAATGTGCAATCAAGTATCTCTGGTAAGTCCGTTGGTTTTAGATAATGAAAATATATGTCGTGATCTTGTTTATTGTTTGGACTTTTTTATCGTGCAATTTAAGGACATTTGGCACTGATGTGGGGCTAAGTAGGTGCTAAATCAGCCTATAGGAAGCTTTAAAAAAGGAAAACAAAACAAATGGAGTGATTTGCCTGATTTCCTGTTCTTTTCTTTCCCGCTCTCTGGTGATCGACTTGAATAAAGCTGCCACAGCCACCCATTGTCCCCGCCACAAGCCATCATTAACACGCCCTCCAGGCTCCATCCACGGCCACTACCACCACCACCAAAGCTACTTCTATCGCCGAGACTCCACCACTGGCTATCACCGGGCTCACCCTGGACAGTGGTAGAAAATCTGCGCATCGCAACTCAAAATTGACGACACCTTCGTCCAAACAGTCGGACATGCGTTTGCAAAGAACAGCCAAAAGGAAAAGACTGGACTTTCTATTCTGTTCTCTGATGCCCTCTCCCTTATGCTTCTATTTGCCGAAAGGAACTCTAGGCTTTTCTTCTTGTCTAGTTTATTAAAACAAAATTTGTTAGTTCTGAATCATTTTGTCCTACCTTATATTTGCTTGCTTAGAGGTTTATTCCAATTCTTGAAGCCTTTCCTGTTCTGTACATTGCTCTGGAGTTGCCAACTTGTTCAAGCTTAGGCACTAATCTACGCATTATTCTCGTCTAAGATTTTCCTGGCAAATTGTTACGTTGAGTATGATGCTCGAACCTGCTTTAATTATTAGTGGCAGCAACTACTGGATGTCTTTTGTTTGGCATAGATGACTCTTGTTTCTCTATAGGACGTTGGACCTCGGGTCTCCCCACTCCTAACATACAAGTTCTGCTTTTCCCCTGTTCCATTTGCCCCCATTTATAGCTCTCTGTCTCTCTCTTCTCCAACATACTTGCCTCATAAATTATGAACATTTCATACATAAATAGAACTGTGTGCTGCACCTAAAATAAGATTCATTGACGAGAGGTACCTTTCTGAAAAAATCAAAATGAAAAAGAAAGCCACAGTAACCATTATTTATTGAAAATTTTCATCAAAAGTAAATAAATCTGTAACAAATAAGATGAGTGGTGTATACATTTAGTGCGGGGACATAGCGGGCTCGCCGACATGTTGGTGTAAGAACGTGCATTGCACCTTTAATTGTTAGTGGGATGGTATTCACGGGTGGGTCGTCTAACCCACTTGACAATAGTCATTGCAATTTTGGATCAATTATGTCATGCGAGTGACAATAGACTCTATAATTGACACATTTTTATTGGGAGAAGGACACTAGAAGTGTCAAAAGTTATGTATAGCGCTCACTTTAGTACCAAAAGGTTTTACTGGCTCACTTAAGTGTCAAGTCGGAGAAAAAAAGATTAGTTAAGTGCCAACGGCGAAATATTCCGGCCAAAATGATTACGTGGCTTTTTTTAATTATTTAATAATTCATATGTGGCTTTTTTTTATATTAGAAAACAAGTCCAATGTGGCTTTTTTTTTATTCCCACTTGACAGCATGGATTTGTCTTTTCATTTATTCCTTTTTTTTATTCAATTCCATCGCATTGAACCACACAGAGCCACAACGCTCTCAATCCTTCTTCTGTAATTGGCACATTTTTTCTTAAGCAATCGTCGATCCTCTCATGCCCGATGATTGTTCCGTCATACACTTGGTCATGTGACTGGCTTTGTCCTATGGTTCACTAATGCTTGTGAAGCAAATGACCGTAATGTTTGGACTTTATGGCATGATGATTAGATCATATATGCATTTTCTTGTCCTCCCATATAGGTGGAAGACTAATTCATCGTTTCCTGTTCTAGGAGGATGAAATGGACAAAGATTCGGAAGATTCAACGAAGGAGAACGACAGCATTGATTGTTCTTTATGCATATTAGAATGTATCTGCAAGCCCCTATGCTTTTTCAAGCGAGAAGTCTTCATATGCAGACAAGCGAAGTACATTGTCTTGCAGGATAATGCAGACGGGGATTCAGGAAAAACTGAATGGATCTCTATGCATTATGGTTAAGGGTATAAATACTGGATTGATGGCTCCAAGAGAACACTCGCACTCTTCTTGACAATGTCAAGTATTGTGGTCGAGGGACAAGTTTCCTGGAAACAGGAGTGCAGTTTGCATATGGATCTACTCTGCTTTATTTGCTAACTGTCCATTCGTTGAGGTAAGTCATTCCCTTTGTGAATATCATATTGCTTGTGACATGAAAACATCTTCAGTGAAAGATTTTTGACAACTTAGAAAATAGTTTCCGATGCATATGATACATTTTCTGAAAAGTGCGCATTTATGAAAATACAGGACCAGGATAGCGATAGTCGATGTCTGGGTGTCGGTGGCACTGGCAGTTGACTACTTAGCTATTAGTAGTTGTGGTTATTGACTTATGGAAATCGAAAGTAGTAGCCTCATTTGGCAATATGTTCGCCTGAATCTTTGTGTTAGATGTCACTTTGTTTGTTCATGCCACTAGTAGTCATTTTTACAAAATTGACGATGACAATGTTGTCATTCTCGAACTAAATTTGGTAATCCGATACTTTAGAGTCAGTTTCTGTTAAAGTTATCAATTGTTTGGTCATACAGATCAAGCTACTAGTTTTATCTGGGTAAGCGAATGATTCTACCAAAATATATCAAATAACTGAAGAATGCAAAGAACCAAAAGGAGAAATGAAGAAAAAACAAGCACAAGTAGACAATTTTGGGATGTCCCAAAATGTGATCATTAAAATCTTTTCAGCAAAAGCTCTTCCGAAATCTGTCAAGATTACTAACACGCGCAATCCTTGATCCTTGCATTACGCTGTCATGGATGACTTGATCTAAGAGGAGAAGATGTTTGTCTTTCCTGTGCCAATGTTTGTGAAGTGGGCAAAACTGATGGTAGAAGAGACTAACTAGATGATATCTACAAGCAATTCTACTTTCTTCTAGGATGAGATTTTAGTGGCAGAAGCAAGGGCACGGACTACTGTCAATGTCATCTCAATTTTCAGGAGTCTGGCATTGAGCATCCACTTGAGTTTATGCAGTGTGTCAGCATATTGTCCATCTAACAAGAAGCTGTTTTTGCAGGTGTACCCGGTGTATCTTTGGATGTTTGCTAACATGTTCTGATCGTGTGACTTGGATTACATTGGACTGGCAGGGTCTTTCAAGGAAAGAGGTTTCTGAACCATCATGCCAAATCACCCATAAGTCGATCACAATGCAGCAAGGCTCTGATTGAAGCTACACTCATCAAGTATGGTAAACCATTGTAATCTGTTCTCTTATAGGCTGGTTCAAAGTTAAGATAGAACTTTCAGAGCCTTCTTGGCTGAATAAGATAAACAGTCACCAGAAACGGGGCAAGTTTCTCGAAACAAGAAAACGATCACCGGATAACGGATGGTATGTTTGTAAATGCTGACACCTCGATCTAGAAGTTTACCCGATGTTGGCGGTATTGAGTTTGGGAAGTCTTCGTTTTAAGTTCTTTAGTAGATGTTGTGCCCTGTTGCATAATTTGACATGCTAAGAACATGTTAAGAAGAGTGGATCAGTATAATGAGAAGCTATTTAGTAGGAATAAGCTGTGTTGACGAACGAGCCAGCCGGATCCTCAACCAAATGGCAATCGACCCAAATGCTTTGAACGATTCACACAGCCAAAAAATTAAGTGGTCGGATGTTCGTCCGCCAAGAATCTCCAATGTCCAGGTCAATGTATTTGTCCAGAAAGGCTACAGATGGAGCAGACATTGCCAAAGGACATTTGTTATTGGGGAGTGAGATCATGGGCTTACTTTTAGTGGGCTTATTCACAAGTTAGTGGGCTCTTTGAGCTTTTTCCTTACCTATAGGGCCCAATAAATCTCTTTTTCGTGAAGCTTGGCCCAACCAATGCGATGACGGCAGAATTCTCTTCTTACTAATAATACGCTTCCAAATTCAGCCAAACAAAGTTGATATCTAGTGGATGAAGGGGAAAATCAGAAGAGAAATGGCCTCCCTAAGTTGGTATGTTCTCATGAAGAGTAATGCTACATGTACTAAGAAAACTTATTGAAATTCTCTTACTAAATGATGTGATAATTTCATATTGGATGCTTAAATAAGCTAATCATTTATAGCACGGGTCGTACTTGTTCAAACACCTAATTAAATCCTGTGATGTCACTTAATAAAAGAAATGTTTAAGTGGGATTTCTTTGTGCATATAGCATTTCTCTTCTCAAAATGCATGCAGGTCATGGTGAAAAATAACATCTGATAAGAGGCACGGACTTTCATTTATGCTCTTGTTCTTCTAGTCCAACTTGCTAGCTTTACACTATTTCTCTGAATTTTGCGCAATTTTTTCAGTTCTTAAAACCTTACATTGAAGATAAGGATATATTCAAGAGAAGTGATGGCTTATGAGTGGAAGCTACATATTCAATCTGTTATGCAAAGCATAAATGAAGCAATATGACATTATTTAAGAATGTAGAGAACACCTCCTATATTATTTTGAAGTTGACAAAACCCTCATATTTTTTGTTATTACTTGATAAATACAGATGTTATTGTTGTTTCAGGTAACGTTGATATGAGGAAGTTCTACCACTATTATTGAGTTCCGAAGTATTAACTGGAAAGACTCATAAAGCCTAGAAGGACCTCAATAGAGGGTGAACAAGTTAGACAAATGGAAAGTTCATGGAAACTTGGAGGTATAATAAGGTGAATAGTTCTATGGAACCTTAATCAAATGTACCGGGGAAAAAGCAAATGGAAAGGTGTACATAAGTCAACTACCAGCAGGAAGCTTGGATAGATTCATAGATTGCTGATATGAGCAGATCTTTATATAACCTAAGATGAATGTGCATATCACGAGATTAAACATTCTGACTTGAAGACTCAAAAGTTCTTTTGACTGCCAATCTAAGTCTCAAGGAATATTGACAACAAGCCACTGGCCTAGAATTCCAAAAGACACACCCGAGGGAGAATACAATTTACCGTCAATCACTTTGGTGAAAAGGATTATTTCCTAATATATGCAACTCCATGCACCTTTGCTAGGAAGATTTGATGGTATGAATTGTGCTGTTTATTTTCGGCAGCTATATTGATCCTCTTGAAAATCGGCTAGCTTGTATACTAAAGACTATATAATAACGAGAACACCTACGAACTGAGAAAGCTTTATCCTTTGATGCACTTATACTTTGTTGAGTTATTGAGTGACAAGCTCATTTACTGAGAGTACTTGTCACTAATTATAATCTCTCTTGAGAAGCGTAAGAGTATTGTAGTAGTGCTTCGGTTTTGGTAGTGTGATCTACCAAACTTGGGTAGAAGCAGTACATGCTATGTAATCTCTCACAAGATTACTAATAGATTCCAGCTTGTTGGTGGCTGTTAGTCTAGGAAAGTGGATGCACGCTTTATTTAAGTCGAACTTCTATAGGATCTCCGTCCAACATCTTTATCCCTCTCTACTTAATTCCATATTTATTTGATAAAAGTATATTGCACTTGATAGCATTAACTTACCCTTGCATATTTAAACCGTTCATGCAACTATAAACTTGTTTTTGATAATCCCGCAAAATTATATCAAGTTTTGATAATCAACCTCGTTACCCTCTCTAGATTGTATATTTAGCAATAACAAAAAGAAGTGGCAGCTTATGAGTTGTAAGTCCCATATTCGAGACAAGCGGTCTAGGGTTCAACTAAATCTTGACATTCTTTATACATGATCTTGTACAGTTATATACAATTATACCGAAGAAACAAAGTTCGATCCATCTTAAGAGAACAACAGAGCAACTCAATGAAATAGGAATTAAAAAATTTACTTTTCATTCTTATGCTGTTTCTAATCAAGTCCTGGTACTTTTATTTATTCTAATCAAATCCTTCTACCCGTCAAATAGTCTAAATTAAACACTCCAACACCAATTTGGCCAAATCTAGTTGAAGCTGTTGTTCAACAACGTGACATGGACAACATTTTGCCGACATGGACACCAACATGAAAAAAAAAGTTCTTTTGTTTTTTGGTTAATCCATGTGACCGTCAACATTGGCAGATTGTTACCCACGTCATCTGACTTTGTTTGACAGACATGTCAATTGAATTTGGCCAAATTTAGCATCGAAAGAACCTAATTAGACAATTTAAGCAAGTAGTAAGACTTGATTATAAAAACTAAAACTATAGAGAGTTGATTAGAAAATTCGTGAAAGCATGTAAGCGAGAAGTAAAATTGTTCCGTAATTAAAACACCATAAGGAAACACTTGGTGAGAGGAAATTCTTGCATAGATTGAGTTCATGGCCCGACCACACCACATACACTCGTACAGAGGAGTTCATATGAAAAAGAAAACGAAAAGATCATTCCTAGCCCCAAGAATACAATCCCAACACGACGGAGACCACGTGCCATCCACGTCCCATTAGGGGCATTGCTCCTTCACTCCATTGTACTACAGATCTCTGACCGATGAAATGAAAGGATAAATACCACTAGAAATCGAAAAACCCCGTGGTTGTTTTGTACTTCGTCTGAAAGTAAATTTGTAGGAAGGAAGCACGACCACCACATCTCAAACCCCATACATTGCTGCGAAAGACAAAGCTCCATTGGGAGCCATTCATTCTCTGGAGGAGATCAGAGCCCAATTGGGTGACCGGTGAAAGTCCAAGCCTTCGTCAACTTTTTACTACACACACAAACAGATGTGACAAAGTCCAATTAATGCTGCAGAATTGTCCTGTTCGACTGAAGAATCGGTGCTCAATTAAAAGCACTGACTGAATAGTAAAATTTAGAGAATTAGTAAGATTAGTACGCAACGGTGGATTGATATTCGTGACCATTGACAGTCTAGTTATGAAGACTTTCTGTAAGAGGCTGGGAACCACATATTCTAATACTTAGGCTACGTTCATTTGGTGAAAAATATTATATTTCTGAAAAATAATTTTTCGAAAGTCATTTTTCTGGAAAATGACATAATTTTTAAGTGTTCGGCTGAATCTAAAAAAGTCTTGAAAAATATTTTCTGGTGTTCGGCAATCGGCGCGGTGGCGGCGGCGGCGGACAGTGGCGGGTGGCGACCGGCGGCAGCGACGATCGAGCAACGACCGGATGAGGAAGAAGAAGAAGAATGAAAAAAA